GCCCACAGTTCAGGAGTCTGGATGAAAAGCTTGCATCTGGACCTCATTCGTGGTCTTGACTGATTTAAGGGAAGTTCAGCATAGTTACCATGTACGGGGCTCCATCCAGAGGGAAGCTCCTGCCCAAGAGAGACAACGTGTTATTCCAACCTGGTAACAGATCATCAAGAGGCTGTTTTGCACATTAACCACTAATTTGCTTGCTGGATGCAAAGCAAACCAGAAAACTCAGAAGGACCAATTAAGGATCCATGGAAACATAAGTATGTGCTCCTATTCAGGACTGTTCTTAGTGCACAAACTAATTCATGGACATGCAGAGAAAATGTAAACAAAAAGTTTATGGTTACAAAGCAGCCTTCAGATATACTCTGACATAGATTGTGAATTCCCTTCTTTATCATCCTGGCTGATTAAAAGAGAAAAACAGCCCTTAGGTAATATCTGTTACATAAAGCCATTGGTGATCATGCTGATCATGTAATGAGAAAGGCACAAAGCTCCCTCTCCACATCACACCACAAGAACTTTCTCTGGAAGAAAGGGGGAGAAAATAAAGCAATTCCAAAATTGTACCCAGTTTCTGCCTACTAATAGTTAACACAGTCCTATAGGAAAAGAGCAAGCCATAAGACGTAGTGGGCTCCAACAACAGTTCCTTTCCTGGAAGGTGCTGTGCAGAATCAGAAAGATTAGATGCCCTCTGTTGCTGTCCTAGCAGCTTTCACCATTCTTTGCCGCTTTTGATAAATCATTTATTAGAACAGCGTTTTTACATAATCCCTGGGGGGGAAAAATGGGAAAAAGAAAAAAAAAAACACCAATATCCCCCCCATAAAGTAGATTTATCACAAAATGCTGTCCTCCTACCAACTGTCTTCAGACCAGAACATATATTTCTCTGATTATTAATTAACTGATGCACAGAAAGAGCTTCAAGCTTTTTAACCTCTCCCTTTCTCTTTTGTCCTTCAAGCATGTAGATGACAATGCAAGGGTGGTGTTCAAAACACAGAGAGCAATTGTAATACTGCCATCATGTTTTGAGCCCACAGGCTCAAATACTAAAGCCATTTAGGAACTGAGTATTTAAGTTATTTCCCCAGTACATACATACTATTCCTATCATACATGTTCAAATCTCTCGTAGCACCATGAATCCTGCTGACACAGATGAGGAGAAACAAAGATTGTTGACTGCCAATACTGCATGTAACAACACAAAAAAGTCAAATCTGCCAGTAGGTATCTGACCTGAGAAGAGAAAGGAACTTGCTGTTGTTGGCCCAACATGCCTGTCTCTCTGCCTATCATTTATCCACTGTAAAGTCTCAAATCTCAGGATAAGCCATAGCTTTCCTTCTCTTTGGAGTTCATCCAAATACCTTCCACAATATGAAACACAGCTACATATAAACAATAGGAAAGGGGGAGACTTGGATGCACCAGCAAGTTCTGAGCATATCAAGGCCCCTGAAAACCAAAACAGTGAAATGAAGCTAGAGTAATTAGCTGTTGTGTCCCTAGAATATGATCACAAAGAAAATACACAGTTATTGGCATTTGCCCATCTCTTTCCACAGGTTTCCAATCCCAGTTCCTCTACCCTCAGCATCCAGCCAGAGGAGATTTTTATATTGCATCACTGAATATCAGAACAACTAAGGAGAAAAAAATCTGGTCCAAATCTGTAGGCAACTAATACCAGAATCAGAGTACAACTCCCAGGTTCATTATCTGGTCTAAATGAAATATAGTGAGCAAATGCACTTCTGATCTCTCTTATTAGTCCCATTTGTTAAAATGCTGTATTATTTACAGCTTTGCACAGAATGAGGAAGTGGGCTAAGAATTCCGTCTCAAAAGCAAAGTAATGATAAAAACTGGTATAGCTTCATGAGCTTATCTCACAGCAAGGTTTTTGCAGAGGCACAACTATATTAACACACCAGCACAAGGGCTTATCATCCCTCAGAGGTCTAGTCTTGGCAAAAGTAGAGAAATAATAATTTTCTGTCATAGTGGGCAGCATTTCTGGAGAGGTTTGGTTCAGCAATTAACATCACTCTGGGGAGTGACCCACCCAGGCATTTAGACAGTTAACATTCTACCCTGAAATATCACTCCTAACTTATGGAACCAGGTAGATCCCACAACAGAGGTTCCTTGATCTTAGCTGGGTGCCTGCCTTTACTGCAGCCAGCACTGCTCCCTGACCAGTGATTCATTTGAGCACAGCTAAGGGTGTCCTGATAGAAGAGGGAAATCCTGCCCTACCCTACACTGACTGCATTGGCAAGACCTCCACTGATTACTGTAGGGTCCTGCAGTGTCTTATTCACAAAAGGGTGGATGTGCAGGCACAATCTATGTGTGCACATGTAGGCAGCAGGAGGGACATCCCTGTAGCAAGAGTAGAAACCAAAGTTCCCAGGCAAGGTATGTTCTCTAAAGGCATGAGCTAAACAGCCATCCAGCTGCAGCCAACTCAACTTTGATATTGGATTGCTGTGTGTATATCAGTAAAAGAAACATACCTGGCACTTCTCCCTAGCACTGGGGACAGCTGGCACAAAATGGCCTACACCCAAATTATTAAATTCTCCCAATTTCCAGAACATCAAGGACACATCCAAGTTAACCACTGACCACAGCCTGTCTTCTGTACTAAAACTTACACTTTATCCAGGAATTGTTTGATGTTAAACATTAGTTAAAAAAAACCTCAGCACTACAGATTATTAGGCACCAGTTTCTCTGAACTTCCCTGGAACAGCTTTAGTCTACCGGTTTAGATGTAACTAATGTGTGTTGGCCAGGAATATCAGCAAACCAGATGTGATTTTTAAAAAGAAATGGGTTTCTTCACATCCTATATTCAAGGATATCATACCTTATATCATATAGACAACATATTTAAGGTTGAAGCTCAAGTAAAGCATCCCCAAGGGAGTTTCCAGAAGTATTTTAAGTCTGAACGCACTTGGGTGAAACAGGAAGTGTTTGGTTTATTCCATTGCTGGAATCATAGGACTTTGTGAATCATAGGACTTTGTTGATAGATTATTCAAGTAGTTAAATGTAAACTGGTAACATCACCAGGCATTTACTGCCTAAAAAGTGAGGGCAAGAGCAGATCCATTGCTATTGAATGAAACCACAGCTCATCACTCACTACAGCCCTCCAGTTTTCTTTGATAATTGCTGTAGGGCTTGGGAGTACTTTTTGTCTGTTTGTCTTCAGAGCTGCAGTGTTGGTACCTCCTCATCCAGGGGGTTGGCAGGAAAACTGTGAGGACAGCCAGTTTACTAGGAGCCTTGGCTTCAAGAGGGAAGGACAAAGAAGGTTCCCTGTTTATTCCATTGGCTCCCCTTTTAAAACCCCATGTGCCATACTCAGCAAACCTGTTGTCTCACTTTGAGAGACACAGACCATGGGTTTCATGGCCTGTCATGAGGTTACATTATTAGCCAAGGTCAGGGAGCACAGCTTAATGCAGGGGTGAGAAGGTGCCTTTGCATGCACAGCTCTGTGTCCTTTTCAGATGCAAGGCACCCTCTGTCACCTGTGAGAATCACTTCAGAGCAGAACCAGACCAGGCAGGAGGGGCTGCAGAATGAATCCATAGCACAGCCCAAGGCTGTAAGCCAGGCCTGGTTCTGCTGTCAGGAGCAGGTGTATACCTGGCAGCAAACACTCAGCATTAGCTTTTTGAGGGGCTTGCAAAAACCGTCTCTTCATTTCAGCCTGTCTGTTGAGCAACACCAGGCTCCTAGGATTGATTTGTGCTGCCAGAGCCTTGCAGGGGTGGGTAAACAGATGGCTTTGTCTGGAGAGCAGGTTGGTCCAGGCTAGTCTCACCCAAGGTTTGTGCTCAGAAATGTTGTTGGCACACAGGGACATTTCTGGCAAGAGTAGCAGAGGCAATGCTTGTACAATGTGATGGCCCCCTGCCTCACTGATATCTCAGACTTGTGGTTGCTCCAGCTACAGCCATAAACAGCATGGGGAAATGAGGCCTTTTTTTTGGAACTAACATGAGAAAAAAATTAAAAATATAAATAAATTTTAGAAACAAAAACAGAAAAAAAAAGTAAAGTTACACCAAAAGCTCTCCCCAGAGCTGAATCTCTTAGAATGCATTAGCTGAGTGCATCCTGTGTGGTTGACCTATATAATTTCATCAGATTGTTAAAAAGCAAATGAAGACAAAGAATGTCTTAGGTGACCCATACATACAATATTCAGTCCCTACAGTTGTTTCTAGTGCTGGATGTGCTCCATGGTTGATTGGGAGATTTGCTGGCAAAATTTGAAATTCCATAGGAAAACCATGTTAGGAAAACACTTGTGTTCATCTCTCAGCTGCAGAGTAACATGGAGTTTGCAGAAATTGCCAGTGATTAAAGCTCTTCATATTGCTTGGCTGGCCAGCAATCAAACCATTCATGCTGATTAATACAATAATGAAGAATTTATTAAATTCACATTTTATTTATATTGCCATAATAAGAAAGTAGCAGTAGGTGTGTCAGGTTCCCCTCATCATTAGTACTGACAGGCAAAGAAAAGGCTATGATGGCAAGTTAAGGAAGGTTTAGAGGATGACCCAAGTCCCAGTGGAGGGATATAGAGGAAGACAGAGTGCCTTGAGAGCATGTATTACATCTGTTGACTCCCAACTCAAAGGTGACCCAAATCTTGAGGCACCAACATTTGGATCCCTGTGCTGCACCTAGTCTAGTGTTCAGACTGGCACTCAGACCAGGCACTGTGTCCTGGGACACGGATCTGTAACAACCCCTCCTATCCTCTGTCCCACATTGGCAACCATCCTCTCCTCACTCTCCTGCCCACCTGCCCACCCTCCTTCCTGCTCACTTCCCCCCTCTCAGTGCCCTCACCCCTTCCCCATGTTCATTCTCAGTGGTCGTTGCATGTACGTGCCTTGGCACCCTTCAGCTCATTAAGTCCCATGCCTTGCCTCGTGTTTTGACAGGTTTTGTGAGTTTTGACAATCCTGCCAGTGCCCAAGCTGCTATCCAGGCCATGAATGGATTCCAGATTGGCATGAAGAGGCTGAAGGTGCAGCTGAAGAGGCCAAAGGATGCTAATCGTCCCTACTGAAGGGTTGTGGGAACCACTGGATACAAAGCACTAGCACAGGTAACTGCATGGGGAAAGGGGCGTCAGCTACACCTGTAGCGTCTCTCTGTGTTGTAGACTCTTGAGGAGATTCAGCTCTGTGACTCTCTATCTTCTGCCTTTTTGACTCTGGCTAGAGCCACTCTGCTCAGACACGCACCTGCGCATAAACCAGGAACTGTTTGTGTGTGTGTGTCTCTTTAGAAAAAGAGGTGGAAGGATGCTTAACAAGGGATAAGACAACTTCCTCATCCCAGGGGCATCCTGCATCTCTAGAAAGTGTTTCTGGTCACTAGAGGAGAGTCAGCAGCTGTCCTGATTTCCCCTGCTCAGTGAAAGAGAGCATTTCTGGTGCTTGAAGACAATCTGCAATTGAGAGGTGGGACTGGGCTGCGGTTTAATCCCAGGTGACTGGACTGGGACAGTGTCTGTCTCAATAGCTCTGTGTTGCAAACGTTTCAAAGCATTCTTCATTCTCCATGCAGTACAGTCTGTATCCAATTCCATCTCAGCATAATAACTTAATGTAAATATGTCTCCCTGACAACCAAACAACCCCTGATTTATTTCGTCACAAACCCAAGAAATTAATAGACGGATCCATGTTCACTTCTAGGTCAGTTGTTTTAAACTCCTGTGTGTAGATAAAACCCGACCAAAGCCAAGGGAGCTTAGCTGGAGTAAGGACCTGGGGTCTCATTTTCAGGCTTATGTGCCATGTATTGCTGGAAAGAAGCCAGCTGGATGTTTCAAGGGAACTTTTAATACATGTAACAACACCAAAAATATCAGAAGCCACAGCTTGTTTCATTGGAATCCAAACATATCACCAGTAACAAAAATGAAGATGTTTCCGAAAATGGAAATATTTTCCACCACTGGCTGGCTCTTACATTAGGTAATTCTTTGAGAAACAGAAATATAAACCCCTATGTGTTTGTTTACAGAGACAGGAAGTCCTCCTGTTGTTAAAACTGTTCCACACCAGAGATTCCCCAATAAACTCAGCACCTAGGGAGGCCCTAAGCAATTTGTACTCCTGAATTAGTGATAAAGAGATTGGTTAGGTGACCTTTCCATGTCATTTTAGCTGTAATGTCTATGATTCTGTGATTTTTATTCAGGCCTCTTTTGATTTATCTAAGATAGGCAGGAAATCCCTATCTTCAACTTTCCCAAAGAAAAACAGAGTGTTTTAATTTTTCACTGGGATCCCAAATATCTTTGAAAAAACATATTTTTCCAGTCTTCAGGGCAGTATCCTTTCCAGTGAGAATTCAGGAATGGGATCAAAATATCTTTGAAAGAGGTGCTGCACTGAAGACAGCATAAAGGAGATTAAGAAACCTTTCAATAAACATATTAGGTGCATGTGCAGGAAACAGCCTCCATAGTTTAGAACCTCCTTTATATGTGACTAAATGAAGATAACCATCAATGCATTTTCCCCCTCCAAAAACCTCTTTTCTTTTCCTTGCTTATGAAAAGGCCTCTTGGAAGCTTGAAACCAAAACATGTTGCCATATCCAAATGCTTTTTGCTTCATCACACTGGCTTTTTTTTCTGCAGGCTTTGCTGGGGAGGGCGGGGGGTGCATGCGTGCAGCTGTGTGAAAGCAGGGGCTGCCTTTGTCAGGGAGGCTTTCTGTGACACCTGCACAGGGATCCAGGGACACAAAGGTGTCCCTAGGTAGGCACCAGGCTTTATGTCTCAGCATAGCTGTGCTGGCTGAGGATGTGCTTGTTTCTCATGGTGGTGTCAGAAGACGCAGGGCTGTGGATATCTGTGTTGTTCAAGGTTCACCAGTATGAGTCTATGGTGGTTTTTATCATCATGGCTCGCCATGAAGGGCTCTGAGGTCTCAGCTTGTTTCCTACAGAATATTACTCACTAGTAGGACAAAGATTAGTTGCTTGGGTATTTTTTTCTTTTCTTCCCCCCAAAAAATTTAATTTAAATTATATAAAAAGGAATCAGCAGGTAAAAGAGTAATATAATTCCATATGTACCTCTTAAGCATTTTTTTTCCTTTCCTTTGCTTCTACTAAGCAGAACAGTCTTGAAGAGTTGCCTCTAGGTAGGAAGTCCTTTAGCCTTCCTGCCTTTTATTTCAGCTTTAGTACTCTGCTGTCCAGAAAAATCAGTTTTACCACCAGATCATTTCCACCCTTAGCTTAGAGAACCTTATTTAGAGACTTGTTTAGAGACCCTATCAAAATGTATCTCAGAGGTCCTTGTTCTCTTGCATACTCTCACCTTGTTGAGCCTGTTGTAGGAGCTGTACCCAACTTTTAGCAGAAAGGAATTCTCCAGGAAAAAAAAAAGTTTTATACATGTGTTTTTCCCCCTGACAGAAGGAATTGAACAGGAGTGTATCTGGTCCCAGGAGGACACTGCAGGAGCATTCCCCAGGGGAGGATTTGGGTTAGCACAGGGAGAACCATGCTGCAATAGCCTGGAGAGGACACCTGGGGACAGCCAGGACACCCAGAAGGTCACATGGGCTTAAACCCAGGTCATTCTCTGGCTCCCCTTCCTCCCAGGGATGGGGAACACTGATCCCAGCACTCTAGAACAGGCAGGACTCTCAGTCAGGAGGGCCACAGGGCAGCTTTCCCACCAGGGCTGGGCAGGAGTGATCAGCAGAGGGCTAAGCCCCCAGGAATAAGCCTGACTCAGAGATGGGTCAGCTGTTCTTGGCTAACTCAGTATTATTGTACCTCCACTGCTGGCTCGATTTGCAACTTCCTTTAACTGATAGAAAGATGATAACTCCACTGTGTTTTTTATCTGTCTTTACTTTGGATGCAGCTCTTCAGGGTCTTTAATTCCAATTTGAAGCATGTGTATAATGGTATTGACACCAGAGTAATTACTCATGTGCTTCAAGAGGATGCTCAAGAAACTTTTTAATTGGGATTTTTCCAAGGAAGGGCTTTTTTCTATTGAATTGCTTTCAAAAAAATAAGAAGTTGCCGATGACAACAACAAAAAAAATCAGCACCCAGTTTGATATAATCCACCAGAGTGTTTTTTCCCTAACTGAGAAAGAAAGGGCCTCACTAAATTTTAATTCTGGACGCACTTTTTTTAAAAAAACGTATAAATCTCCCTTTTGGGACACAAGAAGTCGAGGCCACAGTGATTTGAAGTCCTTTGTTTTCTTTGCAAGCGCTCTGAACTTGCTGTCAAACACTGAAAGGGTTTCTGTGATGTGGCAGATAAGTCCAAAGCTGCAGCAAGCAAAGCCCTGAAGAATTTAGATGGCAAAATGGCTGCCCCGTTCTCTTTTTTCTTTATAATTAAAGAGGTGGATGTAGGGGGGAAAAAAGGAGGGGAGAAATGATGGGCCAGGAGAAAACAAAAGAGAGGAGGATCATTTGGGGCAACTCTGCCAAAATCAGTATATTCTATTGCCAATCCCCTCTCAGGACTAGGAAGCAAGGACTCTTGAGACACTCCACGTGTCTTGCAGATAGAAAATGCGCAAAATTAAGAATTATTAAGAAATTATAAGATTACAAAGAAGAAAAACCAACCTGAAGCCCGCATCTCCCTTAGGTCCCATTGCTAGGAGCCCTTCCACGCCCTGTGCTGTGCCTGGGGCTGTGTGTGAGCCCTGAGCCCCTCCGGGACAGGCAGGCACGGTGGGACAGCCCTGCCCAAAATCTGCACAGCTCACAGCCCCTCCAGAGCTCAGGGCTGAGCACAGAGCACCCCAGCAGCACCCAGCTGACAGATCAATAAAAGGCACAGCACACAACAGCCCTGGAAATCCCATCCATTCCCCTTCTGTGGCTTCATTGCAGTGGCTGGTCACTGGCAAAGTGATGTTTTCCACCTCAGACAGACACTCTGCTGCTGAAGTTTTGTTTAAAGCTGAAGATGCAGGGACATTTGGGTGAGACTCACCCAGAGCACTGGCATGAAACTGAGTGAGGGGAAGGGAGTGTGAGCGAGACAAACTGAGTGAGGCGAAAGGGAAACAGAAAAGTGAAGGAAAAAATAGAAATAAGATCAACAGCAAGATTTTTTTTTAGCTGTACTTCAGAGTAGTGACAAAACATTAAATGGATACACTGCCCAGGCAACCAGCTTCTATAAAACACCAGGGGAAATAACACAGGCCAAAGCTCAAATACAAAAATAAAAAAAAGATTTTTCAGGTCCTCCTTCACTGCTTTTTGAACATGGACTGATGTCTGGTTTATTGTAAAATGCTTGAAATACATGTTTTTGCAGCTGTCTGGAATAGGTGGTATTTTTACTCTGAGAATGGTGGGGGGTTTTTTGTTTTTTAGTTTTTTGGGATGGGTTTTTTTGTTGTTTGTTTTTTAATTAGAAGGTATATTTTATCAAACTGGAAAACTTTGCATTTTTCTCTTTTTGATCCCTAATAAGAGAAAAAAATAAAAGCAACCCAAACTCCGTTTTAAAGTAAGATTACACTATCAGCCAAAAATAAAGCAAAATGCAAAATTCCAAATTGCCATCAACAAAAATATGTGAGAGGAAAACTTCTGTCTTCTCTTGTCATTTCAGATGGCTTCAATGCAAAGTCTAGTGAAAGTGTATTTTTTACTGAAATTTTTGTTGCTTATGCCTCCCAGATAGCTTTCTATTACCTCTAGTGAGAGGCTATTCTGCAGCTGCATTGATCTCACTGTTTTCTATTAGGCTATTCATCTTGAGATTCATTCCAAATACCCTTTTTCAAGATAAAATCCCATTTCTTGTAGTTATGCCTCCTACAATCATGCTAACCAGCTTCTCTTCCACCTGCACAGATTATTGTTGTTTCCCTCTTTTAGTCATCACTTAGATCGTTTAAGACTTGCTTACATTATGGAAATTTGCACTAGTATAATTGCATCAAAACAGTACTCCAGCACAAGCTTTAATATGAGTGAATAAAGAGAGAAAAAAAATCAGCACAGCTTAATTTTGGAAAGTCTGTTCAGGTACTGGAAAAACATCACCTCAGCCAATATTTTTTTCTGTTCTTTGGATTACTTTTGTTT